GCTTATGCATGAATTTAATCAAGAATAACAAGAAGATAAAAATCGATGAATAAATTACTGCTATTCAGCAAATAAAATGTACCTCCATACACAATATTTTTTACTCCTAAACATTAAATGCTTATGAAAAACGTCAATAAAAATGAAATGAAACTATTTTAAACACAGTGAGAAAGCAAGACATATTTACTTGTTCTAGGCTTCTTAAAGACTGAGCGTAGGAGGTTTTTGAAGCAGTTATTGCCCTCTGGAGTTGCTGGACCCTTTCCTTCTGTGCTTGTAACTGTGACTGCACATTAGCTTTTTCCTCAAAATAGATGAGAGATTTATTGATGGATGACTTCAGGCCACGTTGAAGTTGCTGCACACGCTGCTCTGCTTGTGTGAAGGCTGCAGCACGCCGCATGTGCTCTCTTTCACTTGCTGCTTTCTGAGCTTCTGCTTCCATTACCTGAGGAAAATATTGATATTTGTTTAGAAAAGAACAATATATAAAAAAAACATTTATTTGATATGATGCATATTATCTATGTAAAAGCTTTAGAAAATTTTATATATGAAAAAATCATCAGATATTAAGTATACAAAAAAGGGACAGTATTTCAGCACTTATTGTATTCATAGGTAGTCTAAATCTTGAAATAAGGACTGCACAGAAATGCCTTTAAAAACATGCAGAACATTGTTATCAGCTATAAAAAAATGATCCGACGGAAGTGAAGGCAAGCCCATAATTGAATATTAAATACACCTGCAGTGACTCAAGTCATCAACATGCCTTCTGCAGCCCAGCAAAAAGATAACAAACATTGATCCTGTATATTCTGTCAATGTAGAGCTGGTAGACCAAAAATCTCCATCAAAAAGGAACTAGTCCAAGCTCTATCTTACCAAATATATGTGATGGGATGGTTACTAGCCATAAAGTTAGTTAATCTCAGGCAGTTGTGGTCCTAGGTTCAAGAATTACCTATGCATCTGTAGAGATAAGAATAAAGTACCTTTATTGTAGCATGATTGAGCATTTCTTGCCATGCTGAATCAAACTGCCAGTGTTCGTGTCTACTGTTTACAAACCTCTCTTCAGCAAGGGCAATGGTTTCTTTGGCAGCCTGGTGTAGAGCTGCTCAAAAAAAGAAAAAAAAAAGAAAAAAAGAATAAAAAAAGATGAGATGATGTAAGATTTGTGTTATCAACATATACAGTGTAATGAAAATAAAATAATAAGAGAATAAAAGATGAATATTCAGGCCATGCTACAAATGGCAAAAGACCTAGACACAACGCACCATTGGCCCTTTGGTATTGCACTGCTGCCCGCTGACAGTCAAGCTGGGATGACCTTGCAAGCTCTAGTGCCTCATAGTACGGCCTTGCTTTCTCAATGCAACTGCCCAGTTTCTTGGCTAGGGCTTTCAGACGAGCGGTTGATTCCGTCAGTGTGGTTCTGAACACATTATTGGCTTCCTGGAGAGCATAACAAGAGAATAAATATATGCCATGGTACAAATATATGAATAATTCTCTGGATAACATCTCTTCACAAACACACCAGATTTTTCATTCATTAATGCATCATTTTCCTAAATCATTCATTATTGATGAACATATCATAACAGCTGAATGTACTCACCTCTAATTTTGCTTCTAACTTATTGATGTCATCTGTTGCAGTGTTCAATTTTTCCAGCTCAATCTGAATCAGAGTAGGGGGGGAAAAAATATAAATATATATATTTTAGCACATCAGCATAAACAAGTAAAAGCTGTGGAAATATTGAATAAAGGGCAAGTGACACAGGGAGATGAAAAGAAAAGAGAACCACATACAAACACAGGGTGAGGGAAAAATGATAGAAGACTAAACAATAAAGAAAAAAAGAATTAAGACTAACCAAATGACTTATAATACTACTCCTGATGCTGAACATGTTAAAATAACAAACACAAGGACACTCATACACTAGCAACAATAAGTGACTCCTACACTTAACCATTATGTATTACACATATGCATATACACATCATATATGTACATGTATATGTATATGTATATGTATTTATATACATACATACACACACACACACACACACACACACAATACATACCTATCTATCTATCTATCTATCTATATATAAATTGAAACACATACATAAATACATACACACATATATATACACATAAAAATGCCATTTAGGCAAAAGATTGAAAAAGCATTTCAAACATTCACTATATGGATCAAGAATGACCCACTCCCATAGCAATGCAGTAACCTCAACTATAAATCTATTCTTATCTTGGGAATTTGAAGAGGTATTCTCTTGTTTAAGAATATTACTATAAGGAATAAAGAACAGAGAATAACTCAATAAAAGGACACTAAATCCACTGAAACTATAAAAAAGGAAAAAGAATGAACAAAATAAAATAAAAGAAAAACAATATGAAAATATGAAAGTTCAGAATGACAAAAAAATCTAGCCTAAAAACAGCAAGAACAACAACAACAACACTTATAATAAGTGACAGAGAACCTAGAATCCTTAACTTTATAATATAGAAAGAAAAAAAAGGAAACAAAATACAAGATGATATACTAATTTAAGAACAAAGAGCTCTAAAAAGGCAAACAACCACATTAATGTTAATAATGATGATAAAGAAACATTTCAACCCTGAACTTTGTCACCCTGATTTTATAAGAAAGAGCAGAGGCCACGTGTGTGTGGGGGGAGGGGGGGGTATACAAGATAACATACGTGCTCCCGTCCAAATATTCCAGCTCAAGATAAGATAAGGGACTCCAGCTGAGACGCTATTTACGTCATTAATACTCATACCAGGACTTTATTTATCACTCGCATACCTTTCCTGATATTATCATTGGTATTCACGATGTCATGAACAATTAAATACAGGAACATAATCTTACACACAAGTATATACTCTAAGATAACTTCATACACTCTATGGAAAACCACAATTTATATAACTAACAAAAGCTAAAATCAGTAACAAAAATATAGAATTGAAAAACATACACCTAACTTGACAAAGTAGCTGAAACTTATTCTCTTTTGGATAAAAAAAAACAAATGGTTGTATTTCTAATAACAAGGGAATCATGATACTCTTCCTTGTTATTTGCACTCAGTTTGCTTTGTATTTGTCTTTCTTGGCTCAATTTCCCCTACTTTCATGAAATGTCAGTCACTTCAAGGTCTAGTAGGATACTTTTTTGTCCTTCTTAAGAGATAACTTGTTACTAGGTATCTTAAGTTGCAGGACCTCCATTTCCAGCAACTGTTTTTTAGATTTTCACAAAAAAATATCTAGTCAATCTCCTGAAGACCTACAAATCAGAGTATTTGTTTATTCCCTTTTCGGTCTGACTAGATTTTCATGTTATTTACAGTATCTCTATCTATTATATCTATATCTATCTATCTCTCTCTCTCTCTCTATCTATTATATCTCTCTCTATCTATCTATCTCTCTCTATTTATAATATCTCTATCTATCTATCTCTCTCTATTACATCTCTAAGTCCTCCAGTGTTCTCGAAGTTTGTAAGGATTCGCTTCCTTAAACTCCTTCGCCTCGTTTCGCGTCCTCTGCCTCCTCCTACTCTCCCTCCCTTTCGACTCGTGCCATGCAAAACGCCTTGCAATACACCCTACGTCATGCAATCAATCATCATTGCAAAGCCAAACTTTCCACGATAATAAAACGACCTCCTCTATCGAAGTCTTCTCATTGTTTATCTTTCTCTTTTTTCCCATCCTCACCTGCACCCTGGGGTCGAGTGTCTCCTCCTCGACGGCTGCCATGGCGCTGGAGAGAAGCCTCGCGGACCAGCCTTCACGCCGAGTTCATGGCATCGAGAGCAGGTGCCGAGGGAGGAGCCGAGGAAGGAGCCGAGGAAGGAAAATGAACCCGACTTTCGCGTCTCTCTCTCTCTCCTTCTCAATGGCTATAGACGACTGAGTCAAATATTCCACTTCCTCACAACAGTTCGCTCAATGACAAAAGCTTGGCGTAAAATGTTGTTCAAGGAGATCGAATGCTCTTTAAAGAATATAATCTTCTTTCTGAAGAGGTTCGGAATCTGTTAGTCTCTCTCCCTCTCCTAAGTTTATCAATGGCAATAGACGACTGAGTCAAATATTCCACTTCCTCACAACAGTCCACTAATAAACAAAAGCCAAGCGCTAAAACCTTCTTTTAGAGGACTGAATGCAGCTTTAAAGAATCTAATCTTCTTTTCAAGTGGGTTTGGATTCGGGGTGACTCATCCGTGTAAAATCTTCCCAAGAAATGACAAAAGTGTGTCACGTATGAATTTTTGCGTCTTATTATGCTGATTTTTTTTTATAGAATAAACGCTATGCCCGAGAGTATTTTTCCCCGAGAAAGCTTAGCCAAACAGCTTTTGAAATTCCTTTCGACTCCAAGAAGCGACGGGAATACCTAGAACCCCAACTTTCCCTACGCATCACCCTAATCCCCAAAGAACCCAGGAAATCCCCCTAAAACCCTCATACAAAACCTCCCAAACCCTTTCAAAACCTCCCCAAACCCTTCCCCATTCACCCTTAAAACCCCCCTCCAACTCCTTAAAACCCCCATAATAACCCATTAATTAAAAAAGCATCGGTTCTTTTTAATGCCCTACGCATCATCCCAATCCCCCTAATACCCTCATACAAAAACCTCCCAAACCCTTCAAAACCTCCCAAAACCCTTCAAAACCTCCCCTAAACCCCCTCTCACAATCCCCTTAACCCCCCCATAATAACCCATTAAATAAAAAGCATCGGTCTTTTTAACGTCATCGCTCGTCACTTGTTCCCTTAAACCCGCATACAAAACCTCCCCAAACCCTTCCAAAAACTCCCAAAACCCTTCCCCATTTACCCCCCCAACCCCCCAAACCCCTTAAAACCCCCCTATAAAACCCATTAATAAAAAAGGCATCGGTTTATTAACGTCCTCGCTCGTCACTTGTTCCATCCGGGTCCCGCTGCTCCGACGCATGCGCAGAACCCGTGTTTCCTCAACCTCAACTTTGCCACCCAACTTCAGTCCTTATTTTAGGTGTAAGTTTTCGTCCTTTTTATAGGTTTCTTGGGGTTTTTAAGATTGGTAAGGAGGTAGTTTGATCTCTCATCTATCATCGAGATGGGGAATGAAGAGCCTAGGACGCGTATAGAGGCGTAAATAAGAGGAAATATGTCGGGATGTCTTGTGTTGTCTTCCCCCTTTTCCCCTGTTGAAGTCCGGTTGACATCAATGTAGATTTTCATGGAATAGAAAGACGTCATGGAGGGGGTCATGAGCCCGATTGGCGTCTTTGATCATGACTTTATTTCTGGAATAGGTCCCGAGAGGCTAATTAAAAGAGGAGAGACGTCCGAGGCCACAATAAAGGCAGTTTGAAGGTCAAGGGAAGGAAAGACACACAAATATTTACGACTCGTTATCTTCCCCCTTTTTCATAGGCCTAGGTTCCTATTTAGGCCTCAATTCGCGAGGTTTTTGGGTAATTTGGGTAGTTTTGGGGGGCGAGGGAGATGGGTATGAAGGGAGTTTAAGGTGGTGGTGAAAATACCTCGATGTTTTGTATGTATGGATGAATTACCTTCTTGTGGTGAAAGCTGGCTGGTCGGGAATCAGCTGTTTAATTTTTAGAATCAGCTGTTTAGTTTCTAGAATCAGTTGTTTAGTTTTTAGAATCAGCTGTTTAGTTTTTAGAATCAGCTGTTTAATTTTTTTGAATCAGCTGTTTAATTTTTAGAATCAGCTGTTAATTTTTAGAATCAGCTGTTTAATTTTATAGAATTATCTGTTTAATTTATAGAATCCGCTGTTCAATATTTAGAATTAGCTGTTTAATTTATAGAATCAGCTGTTTAATTTTTAGAATCAGCTGTTAATTTTTAGAATCAGCTGTTTAATTTTTGTTGACAACGAACCAGGGCACAAAACCGAGCCTAAAGCTTCGAATAAAAAAAAGGGTTCCAGATCAGATCCTCTCTCGGGGGGCTTATGAACTAGTGTTTTTGTCTGGATTTGATAGGAAGGGATATATAGGGGCTTGAGACAAAGATGTTCTTTTTGACAGGACTAAGGTAGATGTTTGTTTGTTTATGTTGTATGGTTTTCCTATTTTGGCTTCTTATTTTCGGTCATGAGTGGTGCTTTGTGTGTGAACTAGGGGTTTTAGATCTTTTGTTTACCTGTGAGTGTTGTAAAACAAAGAAATTGTTGGTGAATGTTGGAAATCATTGATGAACTTGTCGTTGTGATACATATGTTTATTTATCTATCTTTTGTTGCTCACAGACATAATTAGATGTGTGTATGCACTAACAAGTACATATGAGCTTATATTCACTTGCAAACATAAGTACAATCAAAGATAATAAAATGTACACAATCCTAAATGTAATCACAAACACACACACACACACGCCCCTAAACTTGCATATGAATGTAAATATTCAAACATAACTAGACATATGTATGTGTACTCGCACACACATGAGTACACAAACCCAAATACAGGTTTAGATCCATAACCCACACATTGAGAGACACAAATGTACACACCCACACACTAACTTGAAAGAAATATACACGCCCACATACTACACTTCTAAATGCACACACCCATATACTGCACTTTTAAATGCACACACCGACACAGTCCTATGATTCATGATGTAAAATAACCCAGAAAGAGACACTCAAACACAAAGAAACATAAGGTAGAGAGACATACACACGAGAGGATAGGTAAGCTTGGAATCACACTTGAGAAACCAAAGACAAAGGAAACTGTAGCTGTGCAGATGCAAAAGAACATATACACACATGAAGATGTAGATATGGATATAAGTACAGACATACATGCATGAAAACAAATGCAGACAAAGAAAATTCTCTGTATAGTTGGTTATGTTGAAGAATGGTGATAATAGTGTTGCATAGTCAGCAATTTTAGTAGTCTGAGACCTTCAGTTACTGAAATAGTATTTCACTTTTGAGTTCTTGGAAAAAAGAGAGAGAAAACAGGCATTACTTCATGTTTATTTGGGTAAACCAGATTAGATTTGTTTTGTTTATCTTCTGATCATGAAGAGAAATTGCAGTAGTATTAATGAGTCATTTGTTTACATTTAACAAAAAGCAAACGATAAGTCATCACTTGTTGTAGAGCAGTCAGGAGGGAATCAGAAACTTAGTAGTGTGTCAGTAATTATTATTAATAAAAAACAATAACAAGAAAATCCTTTATTTACCGGCAATATCACAGGTGTTAGATGATACACAACTGTATGTATTAATTTTGTATTGTAAGAAAGGAGAAAGGGGCTATATCCCTTAATTTCTAAATATATCGATGTTGTGCTTTTTGTAAGTCTGTTTATCTTTGTCTATCTTTGTCTTTGATTTTCTTGATAAATATAACTTATCAAATGATTTGTATTATCAGTATTTTATCCAGCTGTTTAAGATATCAGGGATTTTTATTTACCATAACACTTCCTTATGCCATGATGATAACCTTGTTCCATTTGGCACATTTCTCAGGGTAAGGGTGCAAGTGACACTGCCTTGTGTAACCAGTTAGTTATGTTTGTTTTATCCAGATGAGTCTTTCCTTGTTATAATGTACATATTTAGGGTGACATAGGTAACTAGACAATAGGTCAAATGTAGGTTCGGCTAGGATTTAACATCTAAAGTAAATACTTACATTTTCTGAAAGTGCTGGAGATACTGGCTATTAATAATATAAAAGGAGTGTTGTAAAAATTAACAAGTATGGATTACATGATCTTTAAAAAGTATTTTTACTTGATATTTGTATTTCTTTGTGTAACATTTTTTTAGGTGCATTTTACAATATTTTGCACTTTGCACTAGGGATAATAAAAAAAAATTCTGCTACTGGTGCTTTTTGTACAAGAAATTGATTATTTTATTGCATGATTTTGATTATTAGATACATTATCTACAAGAATATTCAATTGTTTGTGCATAATTAAAGATAATTGGATATTAAGTTGCACTTCACAATGCATTAAGGATTTTCCTGATATGATATTGTGGTCTAATGAAACTATATTAACAAAGAACTGTTTTGTTGAAAAATATATTCAGTGGAATTATGTTATTGACAATTTGATTGTGTTTTTTGTTTTCAATAGTTAAATGTAAATGGTAAAGCCATCTTATGATTGCTAAGCTATTTTACTCATTTGTCTCTGTTTCAGGTGATCCACTATCGGATATAGGATCAACTTTAAAAAATGTCGGTGCTAAACTTAAGTGAGGATATGGTGGAGTGCCCACTATGTATGGAGCCGTTGGAGATGGACGACCTAAACTTCTTCCCGTGTACGTGCGGGTACCAAATATGTCGGTTCTGTTGGCATCGGATCCGGACAGACGAGAATGGTCTTTGCCCCGCCTGTCGGAAGGCCTACCCTGAAAACCCTGCAGACTTCAAGCCCTTATCGCATGAAGAGTGTGTATCTTATAATCCTCTTTTTATGTTTGTTTATCGTAGTAATTTACTTGTTTATTTGTTTCAAAATATTGAAGTGTGTTGATGATGATGTGATAGTAATGCAGTTTTAAAAGAGAGTCGTGTTTGGGAGTCATATTACTTAGCATTTTTGTTTGTTTGTTTGTTTGTTGTTTTTCTTTTTTTCTATCTCCATTGCTCATGATTTTGTTTTCATATCATGGATATATGATTTGATATCAAGTAGTAGACCAGCACTGCCCATTTATTGATAGTCTTGACAAAAAAGAAAGAATATATATATATATAGATTAGTGGTATCAAATTATTTTAATCCAGTAAAGGTGCCTCAGTGATAAATAAAGGGGGTTGTACCTTTTTTATTCTACGGTATATGAAATAGTAGTTCTCTCTCTCCTCTCTCTCTCTCTCTCCTCTCTCTCTCTCTCTCTCTCCTCTCTCTCTCTCTCTCTCTCTCTCTCTCTCTCCTCTCTCTCTCTCTCTCCTCTCTCTCTCTCTCTCCTCTCTCTCTCTCTCCTCTCTCTCTCTCTCTCTCCTCTCTCTCTCTCTCTCTCTCTCTCTCTCTCCTCTCTCTCTCTCTCTCTCTCTCTCTCTCCTCTCTCTCTCTCTCCTCTCTCTCTCTCTCCTCTCTCTCTCTCTCCTCTCTCTCTCTCTCTCCTCTCTCTCTCTCTCTCTCCTCTCTCTCTCTCTCTCTCTCTCTCTCTCTCTCCTCTCTCTCTCTCTCTCCTCTCTCTCTCTCTCTCTCTCTCCTCTCTCTCTCTCTCTCTCTCCTCTCTCTCTCTCTCTCTCTCTCTCTCTCCTCTCTCTCTCTCTCTCTCTCTCTCTCTCTCTCTCTCTCTCTCTCTCTCTCTCTCTCCTCTCTCTCTCTCTCCTCTCTCTCTCTCTCCTCTCTCTCTCTCTCTCCTCTCTCTCTCTCTCTCTCTCTCTCTCTCTCCTCTCTCTCTCTCTCCTCTCTCTCTCTCTCTCTCTCTCTCTCTCTCTCTCTCTCTCTCCTCTCTCTCTCTCTCTCCTCTCTCTCTCTCTCTCTCTCTCCTCTCTCTCTCTCTCTCTCTCCTCTCTCTCTCTCTCCTCTCTCTCTCTCTCTCTCTCTCTCTCTCTCTCTCTCTCTCCTCTCTCTCTCTCTCTCTCTCTCTCCTCTCTCTCTCTCTCTCTCTCTCTCCTCTCTCTCTCTCTCTCCTCTCTCTCTCTCTCCTCTCTCTCTCTCTCCTCTCTCTCTCTCTCTCTCCTCTCTCTCTCTCTCCTCTCTCTCTCTCTCTCTCTCTCTCCTCTCTCTCTCTCTCCTCTCTCTCTCTCTCTCTCCTCTCTCTCTCTCTCTCTCTCTCCTCTCTCTCTCTCTCTCTCTCCTCTCTCTCTCTCTCTCTCTCTCTCCTCTCTCTCTCTCTCTCTCCTCTCTCTCTCTCTCTCTCTCTCTCCTCTCTCTCTCTCTCTCCTCTCTCTCTCTCTCTCTCTCTCTCTCTCCTCTCTCTCTCTCTCCTCTCTCTCTCTCTCTCTCTCTCTCCTCTCTCTCTCTCTCTCCTCTCTCTCTCTCTCTCCTCTCTCTCTCTCTCTCTCCTCTCTCTCTCTCTCTCTCTCTCTCTCTCTCTCTCCTCTCTCTCTCTCTCTCTCTCTCCTCTCTCTCTCTCTCCTCTCTCTCTCTCTCTCTCTCTCTCTCTCTCTCTCCTCTCTCTCTCTCTCTCTCTCTCTCCTCTCTCTCTCTCTCCTCTCTCTCTCTCTCTCTCCTCTCTCTCTCTCTCTCCTCTCTCTCTCTCTCTCTCTCTCTCTCCTCTCTCTCTCTCTCTCCTCTCTCTCTCTCTCTCCTCTCTCTCTCTCTCTCTCTCTCTCTCTCTCTCTCCTCTCTCTCTCTCTCCTCTCTCTCTCTCTCTCCTCTCTCTCTCTCTCTCTCTCCTTAACATGTTGCCAAAATCAAGGAAAGTATAACTTGCATTACTTTATTCTTTCAGGCTGCAGCGAATAAGGCAGGAGAAGCGTCAAAAGGATGCGCAACGTAAGCAAAAGGTGACGGAGAACCGAAAACACCTCGCCAATGTCCGTGTGGTGCAGAAGAACCTCGTGTTTGTGGTTGGTCTCTCTACGCGGCTAGCAGATGCGGAGGTGATTTGCCTTCTTGTTTGAGTTATGCTAGATAGG